CTCCAGTGCTTTGGCTACCTGATACGAAGAGCCGAGTGACTGGAAAAGACCCTGATGCTGGGAAAGATTGAGGGCTGAAGGAGAAGAGGGTGACAGAGGATGAGATGGTTGGATGGCATCACTGACTCAGTGGACATGAATTTGAGCAAACTCTGGGAGATAGTAAAGGACAGGGGAGCTTGGTGTGGTGTAGTCCATGGGTTGCAAAGGGTCAGGCATGAATGAGCGTCTGAAAAAAAAGCAGCAGGTGTATATTGCAGAGCAGAGGCTACCAGACTTTAGGATTTACAGATTAATAAACTAAAAAGAATAAATAATTAAAGCATTATTGGTAGTTGCCAGCTCTTTATTTTTGCTAAGTGTTGCTAGCACTATTTCCCTTACTAAGATTCTTTTGTGCAGTGAGGCTCCCACATTAGATTTGAGCCATAATAGAGTTTATTAAAACAAAGGATAGAAAACTCATTTCAAAAGATACACAAAGAGAAGCATATATACATATGTTACTGACTGGCATTTCCCTCACACAAGAGATGTGAGGAGCCCAGTCTGTTACCAGGATCAGCTTTTGCCTGGGGACCTGCCACCAGCACGTGCAGGAGACTGCGTGCTCTGGAGAGCCACCTCTGTGGCTTATACGTGCGTTACCATAGTCCCTTCTCCAGGCTGGGACTCCTGTTGTCTGCAAGCCTTACCTCCAAACCACACTCAGGCTTCTCCTTGACTTTTACTGGGTTCCCTTGAACCTTGCATAAGTGCAAAAAAAAAAAAAAAAAAAAAAGAATTTTACCAGAACTGGTGTTATAATAGATTGCAGTTACTACTTAAAAAAAAAAACTTTTTGTTATGGAAATTTTCAAGCATATCCAATAGTAGAGCATATATAATAAACCATCATATACCATCACCCAACTTCAACCATTCTGAACTAATAGCCAGTCTTATTTTTTCTATACCTCCACACCTTTCCTTTACTCTAAAAAACTGAAACAAATCTCAAATCTATCACTTCATCCAAAGGCATCATGATATATATATATAAGCTATGGACATTTTAAATAAAATAACATGTATTGCTACGGTGTTTTAAAACTTTAACTCTGTAATATGATCCAATATTTAGTCAATATTTACATTTCTTTGTTTTATAATGTACATATATATTAATTCACCTACAGGGGCTTCCCTGGTGGCTCAGATGGTAAAGCGTCTGCCTGCAATGCGGGAGACCTGGGTTTGATCCTTGGGTCGGGAAGATCCCCTGGGGAAGGAAATGACAACCCACTGCAGTACTCTTGGCTGGAAAATGCCATGGACAGAGAAGCGTGGTAGGCTACAGTCCATGCAGTCACAAAGAGTCGGACACAACTGAGCGACTTTACTTACTTACTTACTTACATATTTATGATTATAGTTTATTTGTCCTATTCAGGATCTAAAAAAGTCTGACATTTTTCCACTAGTTATTACTATTAGGATTTTCACGAGTGCGTCCATGTGGTTTTATTTTACATGTTTGTCCCTTGGATTTCTGTGAATTGAGAATTTATCCTAAGATTGATCATTTTTATGTTTTGTTTTTTGTTGTTGCTTTTGGCAAGACTGTTTCATAGGTAGTGTTATGTCATTCCATCAAAAGATACATAGTATATGGTTCTCTGTCCTATTTATTAATATTTTTAAGTCAATAGCCATTGAATACTTGGTTTACCACCTTTATCTCATTGAGAGTGCTGGCATTTTCTTACTTTTCATCTTACAAAGATGCAAACAAATATTACCCAAGACCTGATTTCTAGGAGCATTTTAAAGTTTTCATGTTGTTGTCCTTATATAGAGTTATATGCCAAATTCTAGCAATTATTCACTGTAATGCAAAAGTGTAATCTCAGGTCTCTGTTACATACCAAACAAGGATGATAAAGAGCAAACAAAAGCATCATCCAAAATCATCATTTCATAAAATGAAAGGATTTTCAACAGAGGAAATACAAAGCATTTAAAAGAATTTTGAATTATATGCATATATCTTTCTGGAAAATTCATCACAACATCCTGATTTCTCATGTCATCATGGACAGAGTCACTGCATTCTGGTCTCAAACAATGGACCAGAATATGGGAGCCTTTGTTTAGCTCCATGGTGTTGGAAAGCATGTGCTAGAAGCTAATGTGAAAATTTGTCCAGCCAAATTAAAGGACTAACAACTTTAAGAGTATCTTCAACTTATTATGTATTCCAAATCACTATACACAGTTTTTTTAAAGCTATTAAAAGGCTATTCTTTAATTCACTAAACATGTATTGAGCACTGATTCTATGACACGCAGTTATTCTGGCATTTGGAATATAAAAATACACTAGAATATAAATATAACAAAGATTAATAAAAAAGCAGAGTGGAGACGATATAACAAAAAGAAATTAAGAAGCTGCATTATTAATTCTTGCTCTGCCTCCAAGGAACCTCTTCATACCCTGGGGGTTTAGTATCCTGTGAATGGGTATAATAAGGCACATTTGTCTTTCTCTTTGAAAACCAAGTAACATAATGAACATTATCTGAAGAATCATAGGTAAACTGTAAAATGTAAGAAATGATGTGATAACTTCTGGAACTTAATCTGTGGTTTCTCTTAGCATATATTCTCACTGCAGTAAACTTGAAATATATCCCTAGTATCACTGTTTTTCCATCCCCTTTTGCTGATAAGGAAATGGTCCTCTGAATGTGACGTGACTTAACAGAACTGTTAAGGTCTTAGATCTGTTAAGATCAGTAGTTTGAGCCTACTGATCTCAGTTGTGTTCTCCTCCTCTGCTCCACAGTAATGGTTCTTTCACATTAGATACTATATGCTTGCACAGTGCATTCAAAACCCCCAGGGCAGTAAGGATGTAATAGGGAAGTGATCAAAAAAGCAAGAGAGTCCCAGAAAAACATCTATTTCTGCTTTATTGACTATGCCAAAGCCTTTGACTGTGTGGCTCACAATAAACTGTGGAAAATTCTGAAAGAGATGGGACTACCAGACCACCTGACCTGCCTCTTGAGAGACCTGTATGCAGGTCAGGAAGCAACAGTTAGAACTGGACATGGAACAACAGGCTGGTTCCAAATAGGAAAAGGAGTATGTCAAGGCTGTCTATTGTCACCCTGATTATTTAACTTATATAAGAGTACATCATGAGAAACGCTGGGCTGGAAGAAGCACAAGCTGGAATCAAGATTGCTGGGAGAAATGTCAATAACCTCAGATATGCAGATGACACCACCCTTATGGCAGAAAGTGAAGAAGAACTAAAGAGCCTCTTGATGAAAGTGAAAGAGGAGAGTGAAAAAGTTGGCTTAAAGCTCAACATTCAGAAAACTAAGATCATGGCATCCAGTCCCATCAATTCATGGCAAATAGATGTGGAAACAGTGGCTGACTTTATTTTTTTGGGCTCCAAAATCACTGTAGATGGTAATTGCAGCCATGAAATTAAAAGACGCTTCCTCCTTGGAAGGAAAGTTATGACCAACCTAGACAGCATATTAAAAAGCAGAGACATTACTTTGCCAACAAAGATCCATCTAGTCAAGGCTATGGTTTTTCCAGTGGTCATGTATGGATGTGAGAGTTAAACTATAAAGAAAACAGAGCACCAAAGAATTGATGCTTTTGAACTGTGGTATTGAAGACTCTTGAGAGTCCCTTGGACTGCAAGGAAATCCAACCAGTCCATCCTAAAGGAGATCAGTCCTGGGTGTTCATTGGAAGGACTGACACTGAAGCTGAAACTCCAATACTTTGGCCACCTGATGCGAAGAGCTGGCTTATTTGAAAAGACCCTGATGCTGGGAAAGATTGAGGGCAGGAGGAGAAGGGGATAACAGAGGATAAGATAGTTGGATGGCATCACCGACTTGATGGACATGGGTTTGGGTGGACTCCAGGAGTTGGTCATGGACAGGAGGGCCTGGTGTGCTGCTGTTCATGGGGTTGCAAAAAGTCGGACATGACTGAGTGAATTAACTGAACTGAACTGAGGGAAGTGATCTGGTTTTGAAAGGCAGGAGTGAGCAGATACAAAGGCAGGTGGCCAGGAGGCTCCCAAGGATTCTCTCTGCTAATCACTTGCTCTGCTGGCCCTCCTGCTCCCAACCCTGGCATCCTTTCCATTCTCCTTTGCCCCTTCCAATCCCCACCTTCCTGTTCTCTTGACATTAGCTTCATGAGACATTCAGTGTTTTGATCATAGCTTTATGTGTTACTGACCTTGTCCAGTCAATCTGACCTTGTATTACCAATTCTAACTCCTTGAAGAAAAGGAATGACACAGATTGAAATGCTTGATGACCTGAATTTGAATCCATTTCAGCTGTTTTGGTTGATACAATATATTTAAAATACCAAATTTGAATGCCTTTATACTAGACTAACATATTCTAATTCCTCCACTGCCTTTTGGACTATACTAGCCCTTTTACACACTTCTCAGACTTCTCTCACCCCTGAAAGCATCTGAGTTGACTCCTGGTGGACTGACATTTTCCCTACAGACTGTACCAGGCAGATCTTGGGTCCTTTGGGGTTAGTTTACTTTGAGTCTCAAATCAAAAGTATTTCCTGCGGCATCTCTCTCACTGTTCAGAATGTAGTACTGACGTGGCCAAAATCACAGTGACCTGCGCCCAATAATGAGCCTTAGGAGGTTCAAGTGAGAGTCTAGATGGAGGGGAAGAGAGTTAAGAAGAGCCCAGTTAAAATGCATTATTGTGTGCACTCAAGAATCTTGAAGCAATGACTTATTATTAACACTTTGCTCTTCTGGCAGAAATGCCTACTGGCATAAGGCTGAGTAATATTTGGTTGATCACAAAAAGGGTCCCTTTATCTTCTTTGTGAAAGGATTCTCCTGAATGTGGCACTCTCCAGGGATGGTGCAAAGTTACACAGCAGCCTGTTTTCCCTTGGCCCTATCATCATTTTCACTCTAATCCTCTTCAATACAGGTTGCCAATTTGGCCTGTTCCATCTCCAACAATGAGGAAGGGGTGAAATTAGTTCGGATGGCAGCCACTCAGATTGACAGCCTGTGTCCTCAGGTAAGCCTCATTCACTTTGTTTTCAAAGCCAATATTTTTGATCTTGTGCACTCCAGCCTTCATGTCACTCATTCCTTGCCTTGTCCTCTTTCCTCTTCCTGGAAAGTGCTACTCATCATTCATGGACATTTCTGGTTCTGCCTTTCTCAAAAAGAACTGCTAATTGCTCCAGTCTCTCCAAAATTACTGTAGTGATTATTGTCTTTTCCACCCCTATTGACTTTTTCTACTTGTCTTGAATTGTTATTTCAACACTCCATATCTATTCACTTTGTCTCCCTCACAAAATTATATGCTCGTATGTGGAGAACAAGAGTTATATTTCTGCCCCATCTGTGCTAAAAAGACTTGGTTCAATATACACTTTTGGAAACCTATATCTTAAAAAAAGAAGAGCAAACAAAAGACTAGTATTTGGTAACCTACTCCATCTTTCATGTTTTGATTGTCCTCCCAAACACTGAGAATCCCCTTATCTGCCGAAGCTGCAAGGTCCAGGGTTTCAACATGGTCTTTGACTTGCTTGTTCCTCTTTTGATGAGTGTAATCCATATGTCCATGGATTATTTCTAACAAATAGGTCATCAACGCCGCTCTCACATTGGCTGCCCGGCCACAGAGCAAAGTTGCTCAGGACAACATGGATGTCTTCAAAGACCAATGGGAAAAGCAAGTTCGAGTGCTGACAGAGGCTGTGGATGACATTACCTCAGTGGATGACTTCCTTTCCGTCTCAGGTAATCACAAACGGGCCCTTACAAGGTAGCTGAAGGAAGAGAACAAGATGAGATGAGGAATATCTTGCAAGTGTCATGGGTCTGTGTTTCAAGTGCTCTCCTCGCCCCTTTGAGCTTTCAATCATCTCCGCAATTGTGATTGTAACACCCTCTTGAAAATTTGTCTCTGCTGTGCACATTATTTCAAGACAGTGAGTCAAAAGATTTGGGGGGAAAACACAACTTCCTGATTATAGATGTCAAAAACCTGGAAGATTGTTTAAGTAGATCTAGGCTCCTTTCTAGTTCCTGGAGTTTTTAAAATAGGATGGCCTTTGCTGCATCTAAATCACCCATCTAAAAGAGTGTGGGATATGAGATTGGTTATGTTGAAAAATCAAAAAAAATCAATTAGTTATCCCAATTTGCCTGTGTTAAGTACCCCCACCCCCGCTGGCCCTGCCCGAGTGAATGAAGTTACATAGGTTTTTGATAAGCTGGGAAAAAAATTTTAGCCACCAAATGAACCCATTAGAAATCACTTAGGAACTATTGAGGTTTCGGGCACTTGACCATGAGGTTGTGGAAGGAAGTAAAAATAAACAGAACTCATCATCACTGGAAATTGTAACTTAATGCTTTGTAGATGAAGCCAGACTGAAGGATGGAAATCCACTCCAGTATCCTTATCTGGAAAATCCCATAGGCAGGCTACAGTTGATGGGATCACAAAGAGTCAAACATGACTGAGCAACTAACACAAGGGATGTAAGCACATTTGAATAACCATGTAGTCAATTTTACCTTTAACAAGGCTCACCAATGCTGTTTCAAAAGTGGGCTACCAGCTGGCTCATGGGCCTTTTTTCAAACAGATTTGGCCCAATTCACGTAGAGAAGTCTCTGTGGGAGCATGAGGATGGAGGTCACCGGAAGTCTCAACTCCCTTGCGAGGCATTAAAATAACCAAATGGCTCTTAAAAATTCAAATTAACCAGGTGTTGACTCTCCCCAGAGGTGTATGGAAATCATGCCTGCCAACTCATGTGCCCTGGCCTTGACCAGGGCTTACCGAGGTCTGAGAGGGAGGGTTAAAGCACAACTCACGGGATCCAGGCTGATGGAGCCTGACTGCAACAAGGGGAAGGGATTTCTGGGGCAGGCTCAGTGTATTTGGAAACTTTTCTCTAGCTGTAGTCTTTCCATTCACCAAGAAACTGACAGTGACTTCCCACTGGGCTTGTATTTAAAGCTTGTCTAAGAGTAGTACAGTTGAACCTGTAGATCTGAGGGATGATGGAAAAGCCAACTTTAAAATCAAAGAGGGAAAGTCGAGGGAGATGGGAAAAATGAGCCAACACATGCTTGGTGCTGTCAATTTTTAAAAAATGCACAACATGAGAGTGGCAGATTAAGTTTTATTTGGGCAATGAGGGCTGCAGCCCAGGAGAAGCACCTCAGATAGCTCTAGGGAGACTGCTCCAAATAGGTAGGGGCAAAGGATAGTATACGTGTGACTTTGGTAAAGGGCGAGTACATGCAATTAAGCTCGTATTCAAAAGTGTCTGCTGGTCTCATGAAGCTTCTGCTAGTCACGAGAAACAATTGTCACCATGAAGGAATTTGCTGCTTTTCTAGATATGAGGCTTCACTTTCACTTCTCACGTTCATGCATTGGAGAAGGAAATGGCAACCCACTCCAGTGTTCTTGCCTGGAGAATCCCAGGGACGGGGGAGCCTGGTGGGCTGCCGTCTCTGGGGTTGCACAGAGTCGGACACGACTGACACGACTTAGCAGCAGCAGCAGATACGAAGAGATACAAGAATTGGGCTCATAAAATCAGCTCCTGAGACTATCTGACTATCCGAGGACCTGCACTACTAGTTTCCCATGAGAACAGAGTGCCTCACTTCTGCTCTCCTCCCTGCACTCCTTCAGTGGTGTCGAAGGTCAGCAGCCGCAGCAGCACATGACTGAATCCTTGTAGAGTAAATGACAGGCACCCATGACAAGTGCCAATTCGTAGTTGACAGTATCTGTTATTTGTCTGATTTTCTGCTATTTGCTTTCATTCTCACCAAAATTTTATGTCAGTTATCACTATTCTGAATCTTCCTTTGAGAAAAGTAAGTCACTAGTGTGTAGGTGACTTGGCAGAGGTGGAATTATAATCCAGATCTATATAGTTCTCAGCAAGTCTGGATAGAAGGGTGTTTTACCAGCTTTCACTGCAGCTCCCTTCCCCACCTCCAATCCCCTCCTCTCTCCTGCCCTGTAGTACGGTGGGTCCACTCTCTCTTCCCTTTTAGAAACCTGACTAGCTTTTCATTCCCAAGGTGCTTTACTTTTGATGACTTGTCAAAGCAGCTATTCATTTAAACATACCTGTGTCCAGGGGTTGGCTGATAAAGAATTCAATGCGTTGCCATTCATAGAATTTTTTTGCTTCCCTGATACATGAGTTCTAAAAATGCAAAAGATATCCAAGAAGTGCATCTCTCAGAAGATGCTTAGAAATTGTTCAACTAGGCATGTTGGGGATCCGAATGGTGGAGAACAGAAGACTGGACACCAAGACTGAGATATTTCTTGTTTCTAGTCAATCTTTGCCAGGATGGATATAAGGGTCCCCAGAAAGGGAGAGGGGGACTCCAGTCAGCCTCAGATCTCACACAGCAATCCTAACAGCCCCTGGAAATCTTACTCTGCTCCCCTCCCTATTTACAAATGAATAGAAAATATTTATATACTACCTTTCTCAAAGAGGAGTCATTTCAGAACTTAAAACTTTCCCAACGTACCCTTTTCTTTAAATGCACGTACAGAAATTTCTGAGGGTAGAAAAAAGCCAGGCAAGGAGTCTTATCTCAGGCTGTTTCAATAACGCAAAGCTTCTCTTAATTTTCTTCCACCGGGCCTGCCTCTCTGCCACCTTTCTCCCTGCTGTTCCTTTGTGCATCTCATTATTACCAGCAACACGAAAAGGCTTTGGCTTCCGCTGATAACGCTGTAGAGTCCAACCGCAGTGGTACAAGTGCCGTGGCATGCCATGACAGGAAAATGAACAGGCGCTGTCAGGAAGCCGGCCTTGGCAGGACCCGCTGGAGCATGCCTTTGGACTTGACAATCGGAGGCAGCAGGCACCTTTCCACAGATGGGCTTGACAAATAATGACACAGCCCACTCTGTCCTGCTGGTAGACTGTGGATACAGCCCAATAGTTGGGGAAACTACTTCTCATCTCCTCCGTAAGCTGGAGCCAAAACATTTGCATCAGTAAATTGCAGGTTTGGCCCAGGAGATATTTTGGAATGGCATTAATGGCATTTTATGTATCAGTGTCTTCTTAAGGGAATATCTATTCTGGCAGGAAACTCTATTTTGGAGGCAACAATAAAAAAGTTTTTTTTTAAGGGATAGTTTTGTTTTTCTTTCTTTTTTTTCATGCTACCTGAACTTGTATGTCTGAGTGCTTAATTTGTCCATATGAAAAGCAGCAAGTTCGGGGAGCAATGATGCTAGCTATTAACATCATAGGAGCGAAACCAATTTTCTGATGTGGTCTGGGCTCATAAAAAAGTGAAACGGCTGTGTTAGAGCACTTAAACTTTTCCCACTGGGCAAAAACTACCATTTTTAATAGTGTCTTAAAATGAGCGTCTTGGCTTTAACCATGTGACAGTTTAATTCTTGGGTTTGGCTCACAAAATAACAGGCATCTAAGATCTACAAAAGCTATTAACTCAATCCCATAATGTCTGTAAGTTTTGTTTTGTTTACCTCTTCCTCTTTCATTTACTTTTTTTTAACTCCAGGGTCTTGAGTTTGTTCCCTTAAAACATTCACAGACTGAACTTTGCTTATGATTTTGGAAACTGTAGTTTTAGAGCTAATAATAATGCAGTCATTTGGTCATCAGTGATTTAACATGATTACATCTTTTTTGAAAGAATAAGGCTGCAAAAATTTAAGGAAGTTTATCACAAACTTATGTTGCCGGCAAATCTTTTATGATTTTAAAAACTGTGCTTCACATTCAGGTGTAACATCCAAAGTACCTGAGGGGTTCACCCCCACAGTGTAACCCTCTCTGAAATGCACATGCTTTCTATTATTACTTTCCCTTCGATGTTATTTTCCAGTTGGAACATCATCCCTCTATCTCCTTACTTAATGAATTCTTTCTCTTGAAAATACCTTAGAGTAAAAATATATAATTGTCCCCTTTCAAAGGACATATTTATTCAGTATTTCTTCTTTTCTTTGGAATGTTTATGATGTATTTATTTTTGGCCAAGCTGGGTCTTGAGCATTTCTCTAGTTGTGGTGAGGGAGGGCTACTCTCTAGCTGTGGTTCATGAACTCATTATAGTGTCTTCTCTTGTTGTAGAGCACAGACTCTAGGGTGCACAGGCTTCAGTAGTTGTGGCACACAGGCTTACCTGCCCCACGGCATGTAGGATCTTCCCGGATCAGGAGTCAAACCTGTGTCTCCTGCATTGGCAGGCAGATTCTTTACCACTGAGACAAAGGGAAGCATTCCGATTGGTTTTTAAGTATGTCAGTGACATGAAGGGCTTTCCTAATACCTTAGTCGGTACAGAATACTCTTGCAATGCAGGAGAGCAGGGCTCGATTTCTGGGTTAGGAAATTTCCCTGGAAAGAGAAATGGCAGCTCACTCCAGTATTCTTGCCTGGGAAACCCCATGGACAGTGGAGCCTGGCAGGCTAAAGTCCATGGAGTCGTAAGAGTCAGACACAACTTAATGACTAAACCACCACCACCAGTGATATAAAATCATATATTGTGGATATGTCCTTTCCACAGAAAACCATATCTTGGAGGATGTGAACAAATGTGTGATCGCCCTTCAAGAAGGGGATGTGGACACTCTGGACCGGACCGCAGGGGCCATCAGGGGCCGGGCTGCTCGAGTTATACACATCATCAATGCTGAGATGGAGAACTATGAAGCTGGTGTTTATACTGAGAAGGTGCTGGAAGCTACAAAACTGCTATCTGAGACAGGTAACCATGGATATTAGATTCGACCAAAATGTCAGACCCATGATGAATTTCCACACCTGAATAAATCTGTTTCATTGTTTCCTGTAGATCTTTATGCTTCTAAATCACACCTGATCATAAAATTGGTACTCTTTATTTCTTGAGTTTGAATTGGAATACTTTAGCAGAATCACAATTTATTGTTTTTGCAGTATATATACTACTCTACAGTTTTTGTGTATAATCATTTGATTCTCACAAGAACCTTATGAAGTAGGTAGATTTTTTATTATCTCCCATTATGAATATGAAAATGGAATTTTGAATGAGATAAGAGACTGGAAAAAGGTCACGAGTCTAGAGAATAGTGAGTATGTGATTGGAACTTGGAATTTCGAACTTGAAAAATATTTCTCTGTCTGTTCCTTGAGAAGATGGGACTATGAGAAAGGACCATGCACAACCGGGGGAAAGCATAAAGGCTTTCAGTAGTACATGGATATGAAGTGATCACAGGAGGTAGTGGTTACTGAAAAGGGGCTAGACTTTCAGTATATGCTCAACTCCACTGGTGAAAGTCTGCATATCTTCTTTCAGGGGTACGTGGCTGCCCTCTGGGGAATCATGGTCGTGATGAAAGATAGTTACTTATGACAGGGAGCCTGTCATAGCTCTCTAATGCACTGAGATGGAAAAAAGACTTGTTTCCACTGAGTTAACACAATAGCCCATAACTTTGGATAGTTATGTCAATGACTGACCTATTTTCAGTAGTTTTTGCCCTTAACTGATACCTCTTGGCTTCATACCCTTTCTAAAGTCCCTCATGTCTTGTGTTTTGATATGTAGGTGTCTTAGTTGCTCAGTTGTGTCTGGCTCTTTGCGATCCCATGGACTGTAGCCTGCCAGGCTCCTTTGTCCATGGAATTCTCCAGGTAAGAATACTGGAGTGGAGTGCCATTCCCTTCTCCAAGGGATCTTCCCAACCCAGGGATCAAACTCAGTCTCCTGCACTGAGGGCAGATTCTTTACTGTCTGAGCCACCAAGGAAATCCATTAATATATGGGGGAATGAAAGTAGAAAAAAAGTCCAAGGAAGGAGAGAAGATGAATAGAATTTAACCCTATATGTTGTCTGGAGTTATGAATGGGTAACAAATCCAGTTCTATGTATACATAGAAGGAACTCACCTCAGCTTCAGTGGGAATTGTCTCTGGTCTATACATGGATTTTGGAGCCCATTAGGCTTTTAAAAACAGACGTATCTCTGAAAAGTCAGATATAGCAGTGTTCTAAATTCTACATGATGAGACATGTTAGTAGAAATATGTTTCCTTCTACAGGGAAAGGATATTTACAAAGACTTCTGTAGCTATTTACTAGTCTAGAATAGCAAGAAGAAACAATAGGTAAACAGACGTTGGTTGCTCACTCTGAAATACATGCAGAAAGGGAATAGAGTCATATCACATATCACCCATATCTAGGGATTGTTGCTCTTGAGAAGCCTGACAGAATTAGAAATAATAATGACAATAATACAATATATCTACATTTTAACTAGGGGCTTCCCTGGTGACTTGGATTGTAAAGAACTTGCCTGCAATGTGGAAGACCTGGGTTTGACCCCTGGGCCAGGAAGATCCCCTGGAGAAAGGAGTGGCATGGTCGAGTGGACCAATATTCTTGCCTGGAGAGTTCCATGGACAGAGGAGCCTGGTAGGCTACTGTCCATGGGGTTGCAAAGAGTCGGACACGACTGAGCCACTCACACTTCCACATTTTAACTGGTGCTTCCCTGATGGCTCAGAGGGCAAATATCTGCCTGCAGTGCAGGAGACAGAGACATGGGTTCGCTCGCTGGGTCAGGAAGATCCCCTGGAGGAGGAAAAGGCAACCTGCTCCAGTATTCTTGCCTGAAAAAAATCCCTAGTGGGCTACAATCCAAAGAGCTTCAAGGAGTCAAGTCAGACACAACTGAGCGACTACGGCCCCCTGCCCCCCACACAGTTTAATTAACTGAAATTCAGCACTATTTTCTTTCAAATAGACTTGCCCTTTGCATTCACTAGAGCAACACAGTTCAAGTCATACAGTGTTTCTTTACTCATTTAAAAAAAATTAGAAACAGGTATTTTGGGGCTTCCCTGATGGTCCAGTGATTAAGACTTCCACTTTTCAATGCAGGGGATGCAGGTTCAATCCCTGATTGGGAAGCTAAGATCCTACATGCCCTGGGGCCAAAAAACCGAAACATAAAACAGAAGCAATATTGTAACAAATTTAATAAAGATACAAAGGCTTTTATAATGGTCCCCTTCAAAAAAAATCTTTAAAAAAAATTATTTTACTCTCCTGTATATGCTGTTTTTTTGTGTGTGTATTTTTTTCCCCCATTCACCCTTAAAGGCAGTTCTCAGTTCCTGAACCATTGCTTCTATTATGTTATGAAGTCTCAGCTTCATGGGGGTATATCTGATACCTAGCAGCATTTCCTCTGATCTGACACTGACTGAAAAGTATCCAAGAAGGATGGAGGACATGGAGACAGAATTCTCAGCTCACAACTGTTTGGAATGGTGATTGTAGCAGATGACACCCAGAGCCAGTTTACATGTGACTTTGTGCACACAAAAACTTCAAACGTTGTTTAAGAGACATTGTGGAACTTTTTCTTATTGCATCTTGGAGTGCTTTAATGAACAGCAGGAGTGGTACCCATGGGATCAAAATCTACATAAAGGCAAGGACAGTGTGCTTAGTTGAGAAATATTTTAACATAATTTTCACCCAAAGTCTTAAAATGTTAATAGTATTCTGGTTGAATTTTTTTTAATGAAACAGAGCAATCTATCCTGGATTATTGTTGCTAATCAAGATTTTGCTCTTATTTGTTAATTTTCAGATCTTTAAAAATTATCATCTCAGCCTTTCTTTTGCAGTGATTGAATAATCTCAGCACTTAACTAAAGGCACCTTCCTGCTTCTGATTTCCAAGTCTTAATTGAAAAGAAAAGAGCAAGGCATTTAGATTCTTTCTGTTTTTCAGCCTCTATTGAAGATCACTAGGAAAGCAGCCAGGTAAAAGAGACTGAAATAGACAGATTATAAATAACTAGCAGAAAATACAGGAATACATGTCAAGGAAACATAGATATTAGTGGGCTAAGAACTAGAATATATAAGGTATATCAATTATTTTCCTTCTATCCTCAATGGTTCTTTTCTTCCTTAAACAAGAACAATATTTTTTCTTTATGGGTAACTAGAGAGGTTGTCAAAGAAATGAAAGCAAAAATTTAGCTGTTAGTGGGACAATTGACATATACACTGATTCCTCATGAAAGAAGAATGCCTCTGTTTGTCATTGCTATGATGAAACCTACCGGCTATCTCATGTAGAACATGAGATTTAAAAATGTATAATATAATGTGACTTAGGCTTCCTTGGTGGTTCAGTGCTAAAGAATCCTACCAATGCAGGATATGTGGGTTTGATTCCTGGGTTGGGAAGATCCCCTGAAGAAGCAAATGGCAACCCATTCAGTATTCTTGCCTGGGAAATCCTATGGACAGAGGAGCCTGGCAGGCTATATATAGTTCATGGGGCCACAAAAGAGTCAAATATGACTTAGCGACTAAACAACAACAATATGGTAACTTAATACCTAGAATTTCTCCATAAGAAAAGATTAAATATACAAGCTGATAAAAAACTTTAGCTGTTAATTCACTGGTTGCTAATTAGAATTATTGGGGAATGTACTAGAGACATGGAATTTGAGGAAGAACATAAGGTCAGTTCTGTACTTATGGTTATACAGAGTTTTGTTGGTTATATAGATTTTATAAAATGGATTAGTCCCTTTGTCTGTGTCTGGCTATGCTTAGGAGATCCATATCCTCAAAATAAAAGCTCCTATGCTGGCACTATTGGTAATGAACCTGCCTGCAGAAGATGTAAGGGACACAGATTCAATCCATGGGTCAGAAAGACCCCCTGGAAGAGGGCATGGCAACCCACTCCAGTATTCTTGCCTGGAAGTTGCTTCAGTGGTATTTGACTCTTTGCGACACTATGTACTATAGCCCACCATGTTCCTCTGTCCATGAGATTCTCCAGGCAAGAGTACTGGAGTGGGTTGCCATGCCCTCCTCTAGGAATCTTCCCAACCCAGGGATAGAACTTGCATCTCTTATGTCTCTTTCATTGGCCAGGTGGTTGTGGGGTGTTTTTTATCACTCATGCCACGTGGGAAGCTCCCCAAACTCCTATTGAGATCACTAATATCCAAATTTCTACCTTTGGGCTAATGTTTTGCTCCTGATTTTTTTTTTCTTTAATCTTGTGCAGTCACTTTTTTTATACAAGTTTATCAAACTTTGTCCTGAGAGTACATTTTATTTTGGGGAGAGAACACAGGGCAGTGGGCAAGGAGTTGAAGGTACCAAGGAAAGGGAAAAAAGGAAGAATCCAGGACATTGAAGGCAGATCACTATGTTTTTTCTTGCCTTGTCACAACCTGCCAGGTTCTGCCCAGTTCTATTTCTGAGTTGTTAGATTGAAGACTCTAAGGCAGATGTTCTCAGCCTCTGTATTTTTGACATTTGAGTCTTGGTGGGGGGAGCTATCCTGTGGATTAAAGATGTTTGGCATCCCTGGCCTCGCCACACTAGATGCTTGTAGAACCTCTTCCTTTCCCATCTCAAACTGTGACAAAGGTGGCTCTAGATATTGCTAGATGTTTTTGGGGTGGACAAAATAATCCTCACTTAAGATGACTGCCACTAAGGGACTAAAAACTGAGAAAATTCCAAAGAGTGACAAGACAGTTTATATTTTATTTTTGATAAATTGCTTAGTAAAGAGTAAGTAAATTGTTTTGAAGTGTATTTTTTTTTTATATGAAAGCTGAGTTACTTTTGAAAACACAATTTTGTGGATTATTAGTATGTTAAAACTTTAGGGTGACATTGTATAAAAATTTGCCTATTTATTTTTTATAAATCTAGGCTAACG